GCATGACCACTTTTCCTGCTATTTATATCTCTCCCATTATCTTTGTTGCCTTTGTATGCATAGCAAGGTTCCTGGGCTCTTCTTCTAAGGTGGCAGAAGCACCAGCAGCAGCATTAAACTAAAGAAGCGGGCTTACGCTATTGCCTAAGTTCAGGCAATGCATTAAGCTGAAGATACTTTAAACACTGATTATAAAATTACCTCTGGCCAGGTACATATAACATGCTTGGTCACAACTCACGATACACAAATGGCTCAGCTCAGATAATGTATTTCCCCAGATCAGACCACTGATCATTCATGATATTCATGATCACTTGGCCCACCTAATGGAATGAGATCATGTCTTTTTCGGGGCTGCTAAATTGGTCAGTCTTTGATCTGATTTTTTTACACAATATTCCATAAGGCTGGATTGTGTGCTAAAAAAAAGGAGGGTTTCCCTATGTTTTCAATCCATCCGTTCACAAAGCTGCCTCTCTCTGGAACACAATGGTCTCCTTCTTTTCTAGGCCACCATTGACCCAAGGCTGTATGGGCTGGGGGGACTTGTGATAGGCATTGTACTTGTTCATTGAGAGAGCAACTCCAACCAACAGAAGGGAATATTCATCCAGATGCCATTACCCCACATCCCTCTCCCTCCCTTTAACTACAAGAGGTCATTCAGATGCCTCTGCTATCTTCTTGGAAGTTGAGAAGTCCATATCTGGGAGAGCTTTGTTGGGACTGCTCAGAGCATCATCTGTGCCCATCCAATCCTGGACATGCTATTGCCTCACTACTGATCTAGGTTTAGAAAAAAAATGTTCCAAAGGTGCTTTTTCAAGAGGCAACTGAGCTTTCTTGTTTTTCTTTGAAGACATTTCACTTTTCATCCAAGAAACTTTTTCAATTCTGATTGGATGGTGAGGAATGGAAGGATTTACATTCCTTGCAGGAAGCTGGTCATTTGCATTCTTTTACAGAGTCGTTGAGGCCACTTGGAAGTTTATCTGTGTCCACAGGGTCACCTGAGTAGTGCAAATGGGTGTGGAACTTTCTTGGAACCCCACCATCTAGTCAAAACTGAAGAAGCTTCTTGGATGAGAAGCGAAATGTCTTCAAAGAATAACAAGAAAGTCCAGTTGCCACTTGAAAAAGCATCTTTGGGACGATCATGACCTGGATGACTGAGAATCTCCACAGACATTAGAAAAAATGGATCCAGGTTTTACCCATAGGACAGTGGTGGCGAACCTATGGCACGGGTGCCAGAGGCGGCACTCGGAGCTCTCTCTGTGGGCACGCGCGCCGTCGCCCCAGTCCTAGGCCTTCAGCTGGGTTTTATAAAACCTTTTTGCTTTAGGCCTCCGACACTGTGTGCAAAAAAGAAAAAGGTTCAATCAATCAGTCAATTTCAGCTTCTCGCGGGGAAAAAAAAAGATCTTGCAAAGTTGGAATTGATTGATTGAACTTTTTAGTCCCACCCAGTCTGCTGTTACCACGCCCACCCAATGGGCCACACCCACCCAATGGGCCACACCCACCTAATGGGCCACACCCACCCGGCACCCGACGATGCATAATTGGGTTTTGGGTTGCAGTTTGGGCACTTGGTCTCTAAAAGGTTCGCCATCACTGCCATAGGACATGCGGTTTCAGAGGCTAACGAGGAAGGAAGAAAGCCGTGCCTCCTTCACCTCACTGAAGCCTTGATTCCTATTGTAGCAGAGAAGGGAAGAAGCCCGATTCTGAGAAAGCATCGTGCCCCTCGTCTGCACATTGAAGGATACTCCTAGGAGTAAGAAATCCATAGCTTATGAATGGCATGAGATTGCAAGCCTTTTAAAAGCTTTCCTCAACCACCAAGAATTTGTCAATGAAATTCAGCAGCAAAGTACCAAAATGTGGAAGTGTAATTTTCTTTCATAAGAAAAAGGGGGAAGGAAAGGTATATTCAGCCCCTGACAGAGTTGATGTATTATCTTACTAAAAAAGAAAAGGTAAATTTTAAAAAAATAAACAAAGGACCTGAAATTCTGGCCACACCCTTTCCAGTAACTTCGGCATGTCGCTGCCACGGTGGACCAAAAATAAAAGATTAAAAAAACCAAATATAATTTTGTCTGCAAAACAACAACCTCCCAGTCCTGACTTAATGTGTCCAATAAGTTTCTTCTAATCATAAGCCATGGGCAAAGCCCAGATAGCAGAGTTTTTCACTATGGTTCTCATGAGCAATGCCCGGTCAGCCTTAGCTATTCATTCTAGCCAGTGATACTGTCTGCATTGGCAATGACACCACGTCACTTGTAGGGCAGTTCCAAAGTTGTAAGTTTCTTCTGAGGAGAATGCAGTATCTCTAACCATGCTCAGCTTTATTCCCTCCCCTCAACCCAATCAATCACAGTAAATATCGGGCTTACAAAACCACTACCACCACCCCCAGTTTGAAGCTCACCAGCCTTCTTGCCCACTTCTTGGATAAGTTTGCTCAAATATGACTTGGTCGTTTTTGGAGTCTGGCTTCTTTCTTTGCCTCTTTGCATTGTCCAGTACCAAGAATAAAATGCAAACAGGTGTTTTGAAGGGTGCCAATCCCCTTCATGGGGTCCAGTGGTTTCTGCCTGTAGGAAGGAAACCTTAATTCTGCAAAGGCCAGTCATAATTCTGGAGATATGAGAGCACGGTGCTCTGTACATGTTCAGAGGCATATATATATGCCAGGGCTGACAATACTCTGAAAAAGCTTCATGGAACTAAGCCCCGGCTATGCTATGATTTAGCTTAAAATGCTGGGATCCCCTGGATGAACCCCTGGAGAGGAGAGGAAGAAGACCCCAAGGCAACCACTTGGTGGTAATCGTGGGGGTGAGAGAAGCAGGCCGAACCAGACTGAAGGAGCGACAACAGCATTTGGGCAACAAAGACTTGCAGGATCTCCTCAGTAAGATAGGAAATCTTTGCAATTCTGGGTTTCTCATATGGAGAGTTTGGGGGGGGGGGGAGTTGTTAAGTTATCCCAGAGATTCACAGGCTCAGTCCACAGATAATTAACCTAGTCAGTTAAAGTCATAACGCCTGAATGTGGAAACATACTAAGTTAACACTTAGTGTTAACCTTGGTTAGGGTTTTGTTTTGGTTAAGCATGCTATGGAAACCCTGCCCACTTAAGACTATCCATTGCATGGTATGAACCCAGAAAATAATTTGAGTCATCTGGCTGCATTCATAATTGAGGTTTATAAGGTGAGGGAGGGAACAGTGCTCTGGTCAGTGGCTTCTATGAGTAGTGGGGAATGCAGACATATGGATGGCTCCAACTCTGCTGGCCTTTTGCAAAGCAGAGAAGACATGGCTCTTCCCCAGACATTGGGGCCAGGATGTTAATTACTGGAGTTCTGCTGTGGGTGTATATGATGGGGATACTGAAATTTTATTGGGACCTTGATTTCTTTTTGTTTTTGGATTTGGTTTACCATCTAGAATCTGATGGTATAGATAGGCATATATTGGATGAATGGATGGATGGATAAATGCCAAGTAGTTGTTGAAGAATTCCAGGGTTTGGTTCTTGGAATATCCAATTAGTTCTAGGAGAGGAGGGAAACCTAGTAGTTTGACATGAGGTTTTCTAAAAGCCATAGTTTGGGGAAGAGACATCATTTTGGGAGCCTCAGTGGGACCTTGTGTTTTCATCCTGGAAGGACAGTACAGAATCACTATAAACACTTTAAAGGTATTCATACAACCATGTCAGTTAAAGGCAAAGCAACTACATTTGCCCAGTGTGCTGTATTTGATTTTGTATTAACCTTGATTAGGTGGTTTTTGGGTTTTTTTGCAGCTTAGCATCTTGTGTGAACCCCAACCATTGAGTTAGTTTATGCTTCAATATACTGCATGAATCCTTCAAACTGATCACTTTACTAACCAACTTAAGCATTTTCCATCTGCACAGATGCTCCATGTGCTCCCATAGTCTGAATCGTGGTGCACACCCACCCATTTTTCAAGTGAGATGAGAATCAAATCTGGAGGCAAGTTTGGGAACCTCATGCTTGGCCCACAGGATGGGCCTCTGTCTTGCTGCACTTCCCAGCTCACACTAAAAGGCAACCAAGGGCACAGACAGCACTTGCAGATCTGGCCAAACAAGAGTCAGCAAAAAGATACAGATACAGTTTTTTGGGGGGGGGAATGACCTTTGAGCATCCTTTAGGCATATTTTTTAGTAAAAGCTAGGACAGAAATAGGATGGGGAAGTCCTTACTTAAATCCCTAAGATGCTGCAGGCAATGTGACCTGGAAGACAGGGAAGGTTGCAGCCCCTCTTGTTAACACCCATTTGCAGAGACAAAAGGAAACCCCATCAGAACTGCAGGAACAATTGGCCAACCTCCCGGAGGTACCAGCCAATATGTATGCAGGAGGTCACCTCCACCCAGTAATAGCAATGGCCTTTTCTGTGCCGCTTTGTTGTGCAATGGAGGAGCTTATTAGCTCAAGCTGCCAGCCCTAAACACCAAAGACCCCCTCCTGGGCTTCATCATTCCACAGTTCAGCCACTCCTCCTTCCTGGCCAGATGGAGCAGGGTCTGACAGCCTATGCAAAGGAATCCGACACATGACAGCGCATAAACCTAAGCAAGAGGCCCAGCAGACACTGCAGCCAACAGAAATCCATTACTGCCACAAGGTCCAGAGTGCACCAGCAGACAAAATATTAGCATGTGGCCTCTGTCTCCCCAGGAAGTCACACCTCTTTTCATTGAGTCTCGACCAATATTTACCACCACTGTTGCTGGATTAACTGCTATTAAAGGGCTGTTTGTGAATTAATCTTAATAGTGAGCCTCTAAACATATCAGATGATATTTGGGATGTGTGACTTCCTGCTCCACCTGGAAAATGATGTCCTGCCTCACTGTTTTTTTCTTCCCCAGATGCACAAGAGCTTGCTTAATGCTGTGTACTTGAACCACACTTCAGAAATGCTGGTATGAATGAGGCTTACCTTGTATTTGGTTGCTAGAAGTTCAGTGGCCTCTTGCTCCCTCCTGAGTTCCTCAATCATCTTCTCTTTCTCTTCCAGTAGCTTTTGCTTCTCCTCATTCACCAGGCTGTGGTCATCCTGGATGGCTGCCTTCTCCTCCTCCAACCTCTCTTTTTGCTCCATCAGGTAATTTTTCATATTTTTTTCCAGCCCTCCATCCTCATTGTCCTCTGCTTCTTCACTTTCAGGGGTCCCCTCCCCATCTATGGTTTTCTTTCTCCGGCTACTCCTCCTCCTCTTCTTGCTCAGCATCCCCCGTTTCTCCAACTGGGCCTTCAGGCGGATGATCTCTTCCTGGAACTCCCGCAATAGTGTATCTTTAGGATCCTCATTGATTCGTGGCTTGTTCTTGATATTTTTGGCCCTATTAGCAAATCGGAGGGTTGATAAGCTCTCATCATAGCTGTGGGAAGCTGGGCCCAGCGTGGCTACCATGATGGTCTTAGCATTGCCACCCAAAGAGTCCTGCAGAAGGCGGGTGAGCTTGGAATCCCGATATGGGATATGGGTGCTTTTGCCATCCACCAGGGCTGAAATCACATTCCCCAGAGCAGAGAGGGAGAGGTTGATCTTGGAGGCTTCTTTGGGTCGTTCCCCTGGGGCACCCATCTTGCTCTGCCTTTCACTCCCAGCCAAATCCACCAGGTTGAGCTTTCCTACCCGGATGTGATCCTCTCCATCTGGGCCAGTCTCACTGCACTCCACCGTGATGACAAAGATGGCGTGTGAGCGGGAGCTGTGCTCGTTCATGTTCGTGCTGCCCACCGATCGAGTTTGGTTCCCCAAATTCATGACATGTTCAATTTCTTTGACATTCTTTGTCACAAAGGACGAAAGGTCCTTGATGTAAACACCCGTTTCTGGGTTCTCTTTCAGCTCCATTTTCTTACTCTGGTCTTTTGCCAGGAGATCGCGGATCTCTTCTTGATAGATCTCCAAATAGGAAGCCCTGACCAAATATTGCTGGTTCTGCGAACGGGAGATATGGGTGAAGATGTGCTCAAAGGAGATGGGGATGACACCTCTCTTCTCAGGGTCAGCCCAGACCCCTTGCATAGTGTAGGTCTTCCCGGTACCGGTTTGACCGTAGGCAAAGATGGTGCCATTGAATCCTTGCAGAACTGAATCTATCAAGGGCCGGACCGTTTCATCATACAGGTCTGCCTGCTTGGAGGTGGCATCGTACACAGCATCAAAGGTGAACGTTTTGGCCAGTTCCCCTGGAGAGGCCTTGGGGTTCCGGATAGTCACCTGGCCCAGCTTCACATCCATGTCCAGGATCCTCTCGTAGCCGGTTGCTTCCTCTTTCCTGTTCATGGGGCGGCAGCGGACCACCACTTTCAGAGTCTCGCTGACCCTGGGCCTATTAGCCATCGCGAAACCGAGACGGGTCCTGCCTCCGGGGCTTTCCTCGCCCTTCGGCTGTCAGGGCTCGGCAGCGGCAGCACCTTTTCTAGGCATGGGGTCCTCTCCGCTCCGAGGGGCTGCTGTGGCTGCTCTGCTGCGGCAGCGGAGTTGACAGGCTGGCGCGGCTGCGGCTATTTGCACCGTCTCTTCGCACAATAGGTACAGCTAGGCGCGCTCCATTCACGGCATCCCGCCTCGGACCACGGACCACCCATGCCGGCTCATCCCGCCGTGAAGGGGAAGGAAGGGGAGAGGTAGAGAAACGGGCGCGATTTTAGCCTTCTCCGCAGGCGGTGGACGGCGAAGCCTCGCTCTGTCTCGGCTCGCTTTCTTCCTAATTTCAACGCCTTCGCAGCGAGCCCATCGGCAGCTCCAGGCGATCCGAAGGGCTCGCGGGTCGCAGCCCTGGATGCTCATTCATTGCAGCTCAGCAGCAGCGGCGGCAACAGCAGCTGCCGCCCTCTAACACGTAAGAGAACGAGGGAGGAAAACAGAAGGGAGGGGGAAGCAGCGCCCGGAGGGAGATGCTGCTGCTGCTGCTGCTGCCCGCCGCCGCTGTTGCTGCTGATCCGGGGAGGGGAGGGGCGGGGGAGGGGGGGCTGCCGGCTTGCTGCTGGCTGCCCTGGAACGGAAAAGCCAAACGCGGGAGGGCGGAAAGGGGCTGGGTGATACAGAGAGCGTCTCCTCATCCTCAGATGCTGCCCACCCCCAGAAGGGGAACACCAGCAGCTCCTGGCTACCCCGCCCACTGTTCGCAAAGCATCCTGGGGGATGTAGTCCTGCCTTTGTTGTCTTCTTCACACACAAGGAGAAGGATGCAACTCTGAGCCGGATGACTTGTCGAAGGTAGGCTGGTGTGCGGGGTGGGGTGGGGTGGGGTGGGGGAGATGTTTCTTAAAGGGACAGGCGTATTTCGGCCATTCGGAGCAAAAGAGGGAGACCCCCCGGATCAAGAGAAGGCCATGACATATCAGAATTGTTCGGACATTTGAATCATTGGGACCAGCAGCGCTTACGAAAACCTTTCCCAACTGAGTAGCTGCTACGTCGCCCAGACTCCTGGGCGTCATGGGAGCTATAATCTAGTAAAGAGTGGCTGATCTGAGCAGATTAATGAAAATGAATAGACAACGTATTCCATGAAAGCCTCTTTAAAAAGTAGACTCGTATTAGGTCTCAGAGTCATTTTATATGTGGTTGTAGTGGCTGAGGCAAACCCAGGATTAGGCAAGACTAGAAAAGGCTTTTTTCTTGAGCCCAGAAAAAAAAATCAATTTAGAATGTGGAAGAGCAAAGCAGAAGGAAAGACAGCTCTCACACAAAAGGCACTGCCCAGCAAGTACTCCTAAACAACTCTCTAGCCCCACTTCCTTACCAGATCTGGGCTGCAAAAATCTCTGGAAAGAGATAAGTTATTTGCTGTCACCTAGTGGTCATCCAGCAGTGGGTCTCCTAAAGTAAGAAAGTTCAGTTGCCACCTGAAAAAAGCACCTGAGAATCTCCACAGAAGTCTCCTAAACTTATAGGGCCTTTTCATTTCCATGGGTTAGGACATTAATTAGCACAGCTTGGGAGAGTTACATTTTGGGCTTTTTTTTGGATTGTCTACTTGAGGCATCAGCCCTAAAACTGTAAGTAATAATAGAAACATTGAGATGTTAACAATACACATAAATTTGAATTTTTTTCTAAATCTCCACCTCCCATATCAGCAGCTGGCTGTATCTAGTTGAGTCTGGAAGTATGGATTTGGCTTTACTAGTATTTAAATCAGTAAATCAGACTTGAACAAAATGAAATTCATTGGTGAAAAAAAGTAAGGTTCTACATTTTAGGCAATAAAAACCAAATGCACAGGTATAGTATAGGTGGTACCTTGCTCAATAGTAGCAACTGTGAGAGGGATCTTGGAGTCCTAGTGGACAATCACTTAAATATGAGCCAGCAGTGTGCTGTAGCTGCCAAAAAAGCCAACACAGTGCTAGGCTGCATTAACAAAGGGATAGAATCAAGATCACGTGAAGTGTTAATACCACTTTACAATGCCTTGGTAAGGCCACACCTGGAATACTGCATCCAGTTTTGGTCACCACGATGTAAAAAAGATTTTGAGGCTCTAGAAAGAGTACAGAGAAGAGCAACAAAGATGATTAGGGGACTGGAGGCCAAAGCATATAAGGAAAGGCTGCTGGAATTGGGTATGTCTAGTTTAATGAAGAAAAGGACGAGGGGGGACATGATAGCAGTGTTCCAATATCTCAGGGGCTGCCACAAAGAAGAGGGAGTCAAGCTATTCTCCAAAGCATCTGAAGGCAAGACAAGAAGCAGCAGATGGAAACTAACCAAAGAGAGAAGCAACCTACAATTAAGGAGAAATTTCCTGACAGTTAGAACAATTAATCAGTGGAACAACCTACCTCCAGAAGCTGTGAATGCTCCAACACTGGAAGTTTTTAAGAAGAGATTGGACAGCCATTTGTCTGAAATGGTATAGGGCAGTGATGGCGAACCTTTTAGAGACCGAGTGCCCAAACTGCAACCCAAAACCCACTTATGCATCATCAGGTGCCGGGTGGGTGTGGCCCATTGGCTGTGTGTGGTTATGGTGGTAATGGCAGACTGGGTGGGACTAAAAAGTTCAATCAATCAATTCCAACTTTGCAAGATTTTTTTTCCAACAAGAAGTTGAAATTGACTGATTGATTGAACCTTTTTTTTTTTTTTTTTTTTGCACACGGCAGTGGAGGCCTAAAGCGAAAAGGTTTTATAAAACCCAGCTGAATGCCTAGGACTGGGGCAACGGCGCGCATGCCCACAGAGAGGGCTCTGAGTGCCGCCTCTTGCACCCGTGCCATAGGTTCGCCACCACTGGAATAGGTTTTCTTGCCTGAGCAGGGGTTGGGCTAGATGACCTTCAAGGTCCCTTCCAGCATATTGTTGTTGTTATTATTATTATTTATTTCAAAACAGAAGTGAAGCAACATTTCATTTCATTTCATTTATTATATTTTTACCCCGCCCTTCTCCTTGCGGACTCAGGGCGGCTAACAGCCTAATAAAAACAAATACAAAAGTACAAAAATACTACNGTTAAAACGTAATTAAAAGGAAATATTAATTTGGCCTTTGTTATTTTAAAAATTGTTTTAAAACCCAACTAAAAATACCCCTTAGGCCAGTCCTGCCAGCTTAAATAGCCATGTCTTGAGGGCGCGGCGGAAGGAAGGGAGATCCGGAAGAGAGGGGCAAGTGAGGCATGCGTGCATATTTATTTATAAGTATTTAAGCTCCCAGAATTCCCCAGCCAGCATGCTGGGAAAAGGTAACAGCAAATTATTTTGGTATTGCTTTCAGCAAAATGCATGGACACGTCCATATAGTTAGCGGGAGTTGAATTCAATTATATCCTGCTGACCATGAAGCTGTTCCAAAACCTTTATCTTTCCTTTAGCCATTTCATGGTTTGTTTGGAAATTCGTTTCAAATACACATAGTCCTTGACTTAAAACCACAACTGAGCCCCAAATGTTCTGTTGCTAAGCAAAGCAGTGGTTAAGTTAGTTTTGCTCCATCTTACGACCTTTTTGCCACAGTTGTTAAGCAAATCACTGCAGTTGTTAAGTAAATCTTACGGTCATTAAGCAAATCTGGCTTCACCCAATGACTTTGCTTGTAGGAAGCCAGCTGGGAAGGTTACAAGTGGTGATCACATGACCCCAGGACAGTGCAACTATCATAAATACATGTTGGTTGCCAAGTGCCAGAATATTGATCACATGCTGCAATGGTCCTAATGTGAAAACCAGTCACAAGTAACTTTTTTCAGTGCTGTTGTACTGGTCACTAAACAAATGGTTGTAAGTTGAGGTCTATCTGTACAGTACTGTAGCTGTTTTGCAAAAATATCTAACTTCTTTGCAGCTTCTGTTCCTTTTTGCAAACTGAATTACCTGCTCTACCTACTTACAATGCATTATTAATGATTGCTGATTCAGCCACTATCCAAAAGCAGGTTGACCTTTACAAGCAACCAACAATATATAAACCGAAGTAAAATCAAAATACTGGCCAGAAAACATTGCAGGTGGGATGCAGAGGATGAGGGAGCTGAATAACCAAATAAAGCCACAGGGTCAGTGGCACTGCTTTCTCCTTTTACAATGCTCTGGCAATTTTGCTAAGCACATTTTAGCCCAAGCAATGCTGTATTTTTCCTCCTGCTGATTTAGCACTTCAGGCAGAGGGCCAACTTGCAGTCCCTTCCCACTCAGTGCTAAAATTGTAAAGAATCATGCAGATTTTGCAGCACTCATTTTTCAGTAGTTCCCCATGGTCTGCAGTGTACTGGTTTGCATCTGGAGAGTATTACATTGGGCAACGCTGATCCAAATGCTCCCTGCATGTGGGAAAGAGGGGATCCTAACACTGCAAGCCTTCATCTCCTTAGCTGTACCCCTTTCTTTAGCCTCATATTTTTAAAACATGGTGATAATATATATTATAGAAGCACCAACAGTTTAACCAAAGATCCATATGGATCTATATTCTGTTTTCATAATGACCAAGCAAATCACTCTGGCAAATCCATTGACAGAGAATGAAATGGCAGTTCTCTTGCTGTTTGCCTGGCATTCAACAGCATATTGATTCTTTTAAAAACATGAAAATGCCATTAAGTTTTCATATCTAATAGCTACTTCCATCACAGGTTTACTTAGCTTCCTTTGAAAAAGTAACGTACTTTAGAGTCATGCTTATCTTCCTGGATCCATTCATGTAGATTTCATGACAATAACACCAAAATGGTTACCATTGCCTTCTTCCTGGACTGTTTCCCCTATTATTCCATTCTTGCTTATTTCCTTGTGATTTCTCTTTCAAGCACTAGACAGCTCTAACCCTGCTTAACTGTCTGAGATCTCCCAAGGTCAGCTACAGTATAAATCTATTGCTATCACTGTATCTTG